CTGGGGACAGGGCACCTCATGTGGGACACCTTCTTGCCTGTAGCACCGTCTCTGCTGCACACACCCCGCTCTCTGCCCGCACTCACGAGTGTCTCACAGAAGCTTTGCACCTCCCCTGCAGCAGCGACTCCTCACTGCAGGAGGTTCCTGCAATCCCCAGGCTCAGGGATGGATCCTGCATTCCAGGCAAGTTTGGGTAATGCAAGAGAGGGAGACAGGAAGGTGGGCTCGTGGGGCATGATGAGCAGCGTTCAGGCACCCCCAGCAGTGGGTTCCCCATGTGCCACACTGAGGCATGTTCCCATGAGGGAAAGTTCTCAGATAGCCTCTGGTTTGTCCAGGGCGTGCAGCCACGCTCCAGGAACACCTACTCCTCCTCCACCTACAGACACCAACTGCTCCCCATCGCTGGGCTCCGTCCTGCTTGTAAGGATTTGTTAAAGCCCTGAACCACCACCTTGCTCCTCTCTGACTTCCCTCCATCTCTCTCACCTCCCTACACACTGATCATTGCCACCAGTAAGTAACTGAAGAGCTAAGAAGCTCTCAAGGCTTTCCTCAGGGGGTGAACATGTTTCTCCATTCACCACTGATGGATCCACTGAGTGCCAGGTGTGAGGCTCCTGCAGAGGCAGAGATGCCCCTGGGCAGAGCCCTGCTGCTGGGAGGGGTGTGCAGGGCAGAGCTGAGCACACAGCCCATGGCATGGGCTCTGGGAGCACTGAGAGGGAGCAGAGCTGGGCACAGAGCAGCAGCTCCTGGCAGGGACAGCTCCAGGCAGCAGAGATATGGATGGGCAGGGAGTGGGGGGAAAGTGCAGCCCAGCCCTGGGAAGGGTGCGTTCAGGCAGCTCTCTTGGGGTCTGGCACTGGAGGTGGCTGCTGGCCGTGCTCTGCTGCCCACAGCCCTTTGCTTCTCCCCATGAGAGCTCCATGATCTTCTCTTTGAAACTGTGCTCCCCTGCTTTCAGCACAGGACAGGTGTTTGTGGGGGTTCTTAAGATCAATTTGTGTGTGAAGGCATCATATACAAGTGTTGTAAGCACAGGGCAAATGGGAAAGGACTGATGGACACTGCAGCCCTCCTTGCTCTGCACTAAGCTATAAGGAGCTGAGAACTTCTCCCTGTTTCAATATTGTTCTGATTTTCTGTCATACAAAGAATGTTTTATAGCCCCGTCCCCCACCGAAAAGTGTTATGCCAGTAAATACATAGCACAGTCCAAATGACTCTAAGGCCATGCTGAGCCTCTCTTGTGCAGCCCGAGACTCACTTGAGTCATGAGTACAAGTAGTGAACTTTACAATGAAGTTGGATTTCATCTGTCATCCCTTGTGAACATCAGAGGTGGACAAAGCACTGCTTCAGAACAAAGCTGACTCCCATCCAACCTGGCATTGAGCACTGCCAGGGATGGGGCAGACACAGCTTCTCTGGGCACCCTGTGCCAGTGTCCCACCACTCTCAAAGGGAACAACTTCATCTGAATGTCCAAGCTGAATCTTCCTTTTTTCAGCATGTCGTGGTTTAAACCCAGTCAGGTAATTCGTTCGCTCACTTCCCCCCCCTTTCTTGCCCTCCCCCTGCTCCCGGAGGGACGGAGAGGAGAATCGAAAAGAATGCAACTCCCACGGGTTGAGATAAGAACAGTTTAGTAACTAAGGTATAACACAAATCACTACTGCTACCACCAATGATAATAATGATAAAGGAAATAACAAGGTAAGAGAATACAACACCTCACCACCAGCTGACCGATAACTCGCCCCCCAAGCCTGACCAAGCTCCGACCGATACCTCCTCCAACCCTGCAGTCTCCCAGCCCTTCCGGCTAACTCCCAGTTACCTCCTGGGCATGACGTGCTGTGGTATGGAATACCTCTTTGGTCAGTTTGGGTCAGGTGTCCTGTCTCTGCTTCCTCCCAGCTTCCCCTCCTCCCTGGCAGAGCATGAGGCTCACAAAGTCCTTGGCCAAACCAAAACATCACTATCAGTTCTGTTCCCAGGCCGAAAGTCAAAACACTGCACTGCACCAGCTACCAAGGAGGAGAAACATGACTGCTACTGCTGAACCCAGGACATTATCCACCCCTTATTCCATACCATTCACGTCATGCTCAGATCCCCCATTTTCAATATACTCTTATCTTAGTGCATGGACCAGTCCCTATAAAGCTGCTGAGTCCATCTGGTCCATGATGTCAGGCTCCATCTCTTGTAACAGTCAGAGCAGGAGAGGCTGTGTGCAGTGTTCACACTCGTGAATAACCTGGGCAATAGTGTCCATTGCTAAGTCCACCCCTCGATCATGAGTCCATCTCTATGTTGCATCTCTGCTCTGATGGCCTGAAGTGCCATGGGCCCACCAGGCTCAAAATAATTCACTGTCCCCTTCAGCAGTTTCTTCAGCTTGTTGCTGGGGATTCCATACAGCTGCCTTCCATCTCCGATGCTTCCAAAGCACTGGAGGGGCCCAGTGGACTAGATACTTGCCCATACTGTCCCACACACCCTGCCACTCATGACTGTCCTTCCTTGGAGAAAACTTCTTGGTCCCCCTATATTGTCGTCTAACCCCAGATAAGACCCAAACCTGACTCTGCTTAACTTCTGAGATCAGACAAAATGGTTGTGGGTAGAACACAGTCTGTGTGTGTGCCAACATGCTGATCCCCACCACAATCTGCAGGCAGGTCCCGAGGATACCCAAAGGCCATTCAAAACCTTCAGAACTCTCAAACGATGCTGCTGTACTTGTCACTGGGGCTGGTGTAGCCGCTGTGCTTGCCGGCTCTCCCACAACCAGCTTCTCTTTTCCTGAGTCCAGCTCTTCCTCCTCTGCCTTGCCGGGAAATGCTGCGTGGTATCCTGCATCCTCCTGGGGCTTGGCGGGCGGCTGCCGGGGAATGCTCTCGGCCGTCGCGGGGCTCGGCTCGGCCGCGAGGCTCGGCTCCTCCGCGGGGCTCGGCTCCTCCGCCGCCTTCTCCCGCTGCTCGGCAGCCGCCTCCTTCCTCTCCTCGACCGCCCCGGCCTCCTCCACCGGCAGCCGTCCCTTCGTGGCCTCCGGCCCCGCTCCCGCCGCCGCTTGGTCCCCGGGGCCGCTCTCCCGGGCCGCTTCAGCAGCCGCCGGCTCCCGGGGCCGCTCCCCCTCGGCTCCCCGCAGCCTCACGAAGATGGAGAGTAGGGTGAGGGCCAGGCCGGTGAAGGGCAGCCGGACGGCCAGGTACAAGTCCACGGCCACGTCCGTCCCTCCCTGCTGCTGGAGCCCACCCGTATTACAAGCCATTGCCATAAAGCACAGTGAGACAAGAACCTTAGCCCAGGCCCCACACTTGATAAACACTATCACAGCAAATACCGGCTCTACGTAAGTTACAACATTCTGAAGCTGTGAGATCAAGAAGAACAACTCTGATACCCAATAAATCAGCATTGTGACGAATGACTATTAATCCAGTCAAATCTGTCGTTATCTCAACCCTTCGTGCCCCACGTTGGGCGCCAAAAAGAACTGTCGTGGTTTAAACCCAGTCAGGTAATTCGTTCGCTCACTTCCCCCCCTTTCTTGCCCTCCCCCTGCTCTCGGAGGGACGGAGAGGAGAATCAAAAGAATGCAACTCCCACGGGTTGAGATAAGAACAGTTTAGTAACTAAGGTATAACACAAATCACTACTGCTACCACCAATGATAATAATGATAAAGGAAATAACAAGGGAAGAGAATACAACACCTCAGCACCAGCCGACCGATAACGCGCCCCCCAAGCCCGACCAAGCACCGACTGATACCTCCTCCAACCCTGCAGTCTCCCAGCCCTTCCGGCTAACTCCCAGTTACATCCTGGGCATGACGTGCTGTGGTATGGAATAGCTCTTTGGTCAGTTTGGGTCAGGTGTCCTGTCTCTGCTTCCTCCCGGCTTCCCCTCCTCCCTGGCAGAGCATGAGGCTCACAAAGTCCTTGGCCAAACCAAAACATCTCTATCAGCTCTGTTCCCGAGCCGAAAGTCAAAACACTGCACTGCACCAGCTACCAAGGAGGAGAAACATGACTGCTACTGCTGAACCCAGGACAGGTTGCCATGGGGGCTTTGTGAGCAGTGTGAGCATTTGGGACCAGGACTGATGCAAAGCAAGGAGGGACCATACCCGTGTACACCTACTATGTCCATCACATCCATACACATATCTCATGCCCTGCGGAGAAGGCTCTCCCCCATCCATCTCCAGCTGTGCCTCTGGCGCTGGTATTGAGCAGGGAGATGAGGAGGTGTGAGAGGCAGAGCTGACAGCAGGAGCAGGATGGAGGGGGCGCATCCTCAGCATCTCACCATGTCCTGCAGCTCCTGTGAATGGTTTTACTGCTGGAGAGAGAAGGAAAGGGGAGGATGTGGCTCTGGAAGGGGCTGGAACCCAAAATGGTGCCCAGATAGTTGGGGTTTGCTCCCAGTGTGCACTGCCAGGGGATCTGGCTGATCTCTGGTGGGAATCCGTGTGACATGCACTTTCCTTTCATGTTTCGCTGTAGAAGGAGGTTCCCCACAACACCCATGAAGGCTTTAACCTGCCAGAGGGGAGACTGAGATGAGCTCTTAGGCAGAAGCTCTTCCCTGTGAGGGTGCTGAGGCGCTGGCACAGGGTGCCCAGAGAAGCTGTGGCTGTTCCACCCCTGGCAGTATTCAAGGCCAGGTTGGACACAGGGGATTGGAACAAGCTGCTCCAGTGGAAGGCGTCCCTGCCCGTGGCAGGGGTTGGAGCTGGAGGGGCTTTAAGTTCCCTTCCAACACAAACCAAGCTGGGATTCTGCGATGGGCTTGGGAGCATCCATCAGAGCCACCAGCGACAGGGGCAACCTTAAAGCACCCCCACTCAGAAGGGCCCTTTCCCCCTGTTGCTGCCCATTTCAGTCCTTCACCACACTCCTCACTGTTCCTCCCCATCTCCTTCCTTTCACTTTTGGGCACCGCTCCCTCAGGCTCTCCTTTGTCTCTTGTGCTTCCAGCACGATGGGTGGAAGAAGGTGAATGTCATCATCAAGGAGAGCACAAGGACTGGGGCTGCCTCCGTCCCCACTGAGGTGAATAACCAAATTCCCCAGGAAGCCGTCACCACGCAGAAGAAGGACAGGAGGGTGACCATGAGCAGCCAGCACATAGGTACCAAGGCCAAGTCACACCTGACCAATCTGAGTGCCTTGGGTGATGTGAGCATTGGTGTTTGCATGGACAAGAAGTAGAGGACAGCATTTACCTCGTCGTTAGCAAGGTCACCACGACCTCCTGTGGGCTTCTTTGCAGCCAAACTTGTGAGCCATGATTTGAGCAAAAGGAATTGAAGATGGGTGGAAAGCTGCTTCATTGCCTGTGGCGCCTGACATTGCTGATGGACGCTGGTACCAGCTCCCATCAGCAAGGTTCCCCTCATCTACCTGCCATGATAATGTCAACCATGGCCCTTCTGAAGCTGTAACTGTCTCAGAAATGCTCCAAAAGTGGATGTGAAAGGTGGGCTTGTTCTGTGGTTTGCTCTAAGGAAGCCCAAAGTCCTGCTGCTCGCTCAAGTTGAGGTCATCTCCTCTGGGTACACTTGTTTGTAAGCGGCGAGGAGAAGCAGACAGGCCAACCCAATATGGGTGATAAGCAAGCTTCTACTTTATTTGTGATGAAGTTCACATATATATAGGAGTGATATCCAGCCACTCCTCCTTGGCACAACAGTATTGGTTAGCCCCACACAGCTTCCTCCACATTCTCCTCCCATGTCCAGTTTCCGGTTACCTGTGGGGGCCACCCCCTGCCTTGCTTGCACAGTCCTCCAGGGCTTTATGGTCCTGCTCTTAGAGTCATTCTGTAACAATTCCCCCGTTTTTCTTTGTGCGAGCAAGGCATTGTGGGTTATTCTGTTCACCTGTTTTATCACACAACTATAAACAAGTCTAATAGCTACGATGATTAACCTAACAATCATACATAAGTGCAATACTTTAAACAGCAGTGTTTGACTGTAATGTCCTGTGAAGACAACCATCTAGTTATTCTTAGGATATTGCTCAGTTACTATTGCTGGGTAAGCTGAGCCAGGGTTCTCAGCTGTGTGTGCATCGAATTAGCATAATCAGAGAGACTCATGCAACGCATTCCATCAAACTCTTCACATCCATGTCCCTGTTCCAACAACAAAAGGTTCTGCAGTGTTGCATGTCTTACAGAGTCAACATTAAAACAAACAACCCAGTCTGCTTAGTTGAGCCAAGGCCCCGGCTGAAGCACTTACAGTGATTTGGCATATTATGATTGGATACATGTTTTGAAGATCCTTTGTGACTAACGTATAATTGGTTAAACGCAGGTGTGAGAACTCAACCTTGAAAGCTTGCCAACCGTCCACAGTTCTCATTAACTTGGTGAATTCCAGCTTCTTATCCTGCTTGCTTAAGCTTCTTCGGGCCTCTCATGACCTTGCTGTATCTTTCAGGACTATTCAAAGTTTATGTACCACTTATGCATTCTCCCGTAAGAACACTGTCTCCACATCTCCCCCCTTTATGTCTTATATATGGTTTGGGTGACCCTACTTGAGCAGGGGATCTGGGCTAGATTATATCCCCAACATATGCCAACTAGAGGCTGCCTGGGCCTGCCCCTCTTTTCTGCTGTATGGCTCTCTGGTAACAGGCTGTATAGCTCTCTGATCCTTCACATCAAGGTCTGGCATGGCATGTGTCCCCACCGCTCCATGCCTGCTGGGTTGCAGCCAACAGCGGAGCTAAAGGTTCTTCTTGGTGGCAAACACAGAAGCCAACCCAGTCTTGCCCTTGATTGTGGTAGCAGGCATTTGGTCAGCCTCAGTCCTTGCACCTTGTTGTCAATGCAGAGTTTCACCTGCTTCATCCAGTAACAGGTCGCTACTACAGCAAGGCACACACAAATTTACATTAGCAGAGTAACTATTACAGGGTGCAGCAGCATGCTGAAGATGCTGATGGCAGTGAGGGACTAGCCAAAGAAATTTCTTACCAGTGGAATTCTCCCCCCCTCTTAAATTTCTTCCAACACCTGCTTTATAACACTACCATTGTATTAAAATTTTTCTAGCTGTTGCCTTAGCATTTTTCTAGCAGCTACTGCAAATTTCCATACTCTAACATCTCTTTTACAAGTGACAAATCTATACAAGGTGCAGTTCCTTATTAGCAACTAGCTAGTAAATACAGGTGGTTTTATACACAAAATCACAACCTCTAAGAATAGCTACTTTACAAGCACACATAGTCAGGATGTTACTTTTCATTTGCCCCCAAGTGATGTTTTGCAGTCATTCGTTTTTCTCTTCCTCTATCTCATTCTGCTTGGGGTAATCACGGTCAGCTCCTGTAGCTGAGGCATCAGGTTTTTCCATTCGTCTGTCCAGCTCATGGCAAGGCTTCACAAACTTTGCAGGCAGTCGCCATGGACCTGTAGGCAGGAGGACACAAATATACCCCCTCTCCCAGGTTATCTGTTCTTGAGAAGCAGACAGGTTAAACTGCACATTGTTAACCGGCGAGGAGTTTGCTGCATCATTGCCTTTGTTTTTGTTTTTTTTTATGCAAAGTCGCTCACCCTACAAACGCCTACAAACTGCTACCGGTTAAAAAACTTTTACATGAACCCAACACCAAAAAAAACACACGGAACACGGTCTGCCCTCAACACACGCGCACACACACACACACACGTATGGGATCCCACAAGCACACTCCACACAACCACAATATTTGAAGCACAAAATCCAGACAGTCATTACTCCCACTACAGCCCCACAGACAGAACATGGCATAGAGGAGTCAAAGAGGAGTAATAGGGGAGTCATAGAGGAGTCATGGAAGAGTCATAGAGGAATAATTGAGGAGTCATAGAGTCGTCATAGAAGACTCATACAGGAGTCGTAGAGGAGTCATAGAGAAGTCATAGTGTTACAGACGGGTCTCAGAGGAGTCAGAGTGCTCATAGACGGCTCATAGATGAGTCACAGGAGACATAGTGGAGTCATAGAGGTGTCATAGTGAGGTCATAGAGACATCATAGATGTATCATACATGAGTCATAGAGGAATCATAGAGGAGTCATAGAGTTATAGAGGAGTCATAGAGGAGTCATAGGGGAGTCTTAACAGAGGCGTAGAAGAGTCAGAGTAGTTATAGAAGAGTCATAGAGGAGTCATAGAGGAGTCAGAGGAGTCATAGGGTAGTTGGAGTCATAGTGGAGACAGAGAGGAGTCATAGAGTAGTCAGAGGTGTCATAGTGGAGACAGAGGAGTCATAGAGAAGTCTTAGAGGAGCCATAGAGTGGTCATTGAGGAGTCATGGAGGAGTGATGGAGCAGTCATAGAAGAGTCATAGAGGAGTCGCAGAGGAGTCATAGAGAAGTCATAGTGTTATAGAGGGGTCATAGAGGAGTTAGAGGGCTCATAGACAGCTCATAGAGGAGTCATAGGAGACATAGTGGAGTCATAGTGGCGTCATAGTTGAGTCATAAAGGAGTCATGGAGGAGTAATAGGGGAGTCTTAAAAGAGTCATAGGAGAGTCATAGAGGAGTCATACAGGAGTCATAAAAAAATCTTGGAGGAGTCATACGCCAGTCATAGAGGAGTCATGGAGGACTCATGGAGCAGTCATGGAGGAGTCATAGAGGAGTCATAGAGGAGTCATAGTGTTATAGAGGAGTCATAGAGGAGTCAGAGGTCTCATAGACAGCTCTTAGAGGAATCATAGGAGTCATAGTCGAGTCATAGAGGAGTTATAGAGGAGTCATAGAGGAATATTAGTGGAATCATAGAGGAGTCATGGGGAAGTTGTAGAGGAGTCATAGAAAAGTCCTAGAGGTTTCATAGAAAAGTCATAGAGGAGTCAGAGAGTCATAGAAGTGTCACAGAGGAGTCATAGAGGAGTCATATAAAAATCACAGAGAAGCCGTAGTGTCACAAAGTCATAGAGGCATCATAGAGAAGTCATAGAGGAGTCATGGAGGAATCATGGAGGAGTCATAGTGGAGTCATATAAAAGTCACAAAGGAGCCATAGTGTCACAATTTCATAGAGGAGTCATAGCAGAGTCACAGAGGAGTCATAGAGGAGACATAGGGGAGTCATAGGGGAGTCATAGAGGAGTCATAGAGAAGTCGTACAGTAGTCATAAAGTAGTCATAGAGCAGTCATGTTGGAGTCATAGATGAGTCTTATAAACGTGATAGATGTGTCACAGAGGACTCATAGAGGAGTCAAAACGGCATCACAGAGGAGCCATAGTGTCATAAAGTCATAGAGGAGTCATAGAGGCGTCATAGAGGATGGATAGAGAAGTCATAGAAGAGTCACAGAGAAGTCATAGAAGAGTCATGGAGGAATCATGGAGGAGTCATAGAGGAGTCATAGAAGAGTTGTATGGGAGTCATAGAGGAGTCAAAGTGTTATAGAGGAGTCATAGAGGAGTCAGAGGGCTCATAGACAGCTCATAGTGGAATCATAGGAGTCACAGTGGAGTCAGAAAGGGGTCATAGGGGCATCATAGAGGCATCATAGAGGTGTCATAGAGGACTCATAGAGGAGTCATAGTGGAGTTATAGAGGGGTCATATAGCTGTCCCGGAGCAGTCATAGAGTTATAGAGGAGTCATATGGGAGTCATAAAAGAGTCATAGAGGAGTCGTAGTGGAGCCATAGAGGAATCATAGTGGAGCCATAGAGGAGTCATAGAGAAGTCATAGAGGAGTCATAGAGCAGTCATGGTGGAGTCTTAGAGGACTCATAGAAAAGTCATAGAGGTGTCATAGAGGAGTTACAGAGGAGTCAGAGAATCATAGGTGTGTCATAGATGAGTCATAGAGGAGTCATATAAAAGTCAGAGAGGAGCCATAGTGTCACAAAGTCATAGAGGCGTCATAGAGGTGTCATAGAGTAGTCATAGAAGAGTCATGGGGGAATCATGGAGGAGCCATGGAGGAGTCATGCAGGAGTCATAGAGGAGTCATAGAGGAGTCATAGGGGAGTCATTGAGGAGTCATAGAGGAGTCATGGAGGAGTCATAGGAGAGTCATTGGGGAGTCATTGGGGAGTCATGCAGGAGTCATTGGGGATTCATAGAGGAGTCAATAAGGTTTCAGAGGAGTCAATAAGGAGTTATAGAGGAGTCATAGAGGAGTCATAGAGGAGCTATAGAGGAGCCATTGTGTCATAAAGTCACAGAGGAGTCATACAGGA